GGTCGATGCAGGTGACTGCTCAGATGAAGAGCAAGTGGTGAAGTGGGTGACTCCACAGCCCACTCGTGTGTGCATGCAGGTGTCTGTACAGGTGGGGACACAAGTGGGCCACGGGCCACGGCTTTTCTTGCTCTTTGCGATCGCATTGTGTGGGAAGTTGCGTGGATTCTTCCAGACTGTCCTGCTCTGATTGGAGGCTTGGCTCACTGTGTCCCGGGCACGCGCTGCCCAGGGCGAGTTCTATCTGGCAGTACACTTCCACCCGGGGGAAGATCACCCTCTTGGAGGGAGAATTAAGGTAAGCAGCGTCTAGGAAACACAAGCATGGGTCACAGGTGGCATTTCGAACCTCCGACATCAGCATGGTGTTTGCAAAAAAACGCTTTTCCAAGTTACTGTCATAAACAGGATTATTTCCCACCGGCGGCCTTTCATTACTTGCTTGGATTGACACTGAGTATTTGATTGCGGATTAATCCACGTATTCAGCGGATATTTATTGAGCATCTCTGTGTGGCAGGCACTGTGCCTGGCACTGAGGAGGCGAAGGAGACAGAAACAGGTGTGATGGTTTCTCCCCCCAGAGCTTACAGCCCAGGGCGGGGGCAGGCCCCGATCTCAAGTTTTAATCAAGACAAGTGTTAGGCAGGGGAGGAACGTTGCCCTAGCAGAGAGGGACGCAGGGAGGACTTAACTGGGAGGCTTCCCCGAGGGAGGGGCATTTAAGCTGAGATCTGAAGGCCGAGTGAGTGGTCCAGGGGATGGTCAGGCAGGATGGGCAGGAGAGTCAGGCAGAGGGAGCAGCATGCACAAAGGTCACAGGCCCGAAGGAGCACCAGGCGTGGGGTCCTGAAAGGTAGTGTGGCTGGAGCTGGAGTGGGGGGGGGAGAGGGGTGGCTCTGTGGTTGGGGATGGGGCTGAGGAGCAGGGACCGGATCTCTCAAGGGCTGGTAGGCAGCACTGAGGACTCTTAATTTTCATGGGGACCATGAAGCCTTCTAGGCAGGGAGGCACCCCCTGACTCTGGCTTTGACAAGGTCGCTGTGGCTGGGTGTGGAGACTCACTGACAAGGGCACAGGGGGCCGGGGAAACCTGTCGGGTGGCTGCGGAGCTGTGTGGGGCTTGTGCCTGGAAGAAGGTGAAGGAAGTAGAAGTTCTGTTTGGGAGGTAAGTGGGTGAGGATCGGTGAGGGACTGATGGGGGCTGCGGGGAGGTAGGTGGCTTGAACAATCGGATGGATGCTGGTGCTGTCTGCTGAGAATAGGCCGTGGGGGGGGATGGATGGGGGGAGGGGGGAAGAGAGCTCAGGTTAGGAGCTTGTTTTGGGACATGCTGAGTTTAGGGGCCTTGGAGATGCCCAAGGAGAGACCAGTGGGCAGTGTGCGTGTGGATTTGGATCCCAGCGACGAGACGAGGGTTAGAGGTACATATGTATCAGGAGCCCATCCAGGTGGGAGGGTTAGAGGTTCATATGTATTGGGAGCCCACCGGGCGGTCACTGGGGCTGTGGTGGTGGCTGTGCAGGAGACTCCTGGGGCGGGAAGGCAGGTGAGAGGAGGGGCCGGGATTGAGGCAGACCAGCAGAGGGCCCAGGGCAAGTTTCCTAAAACAGGCAAAACTGGGAAGATTCCAAAGCCACTGGGAAGAGGACCCGCAGCCCAGGAGAAAACATTTACAAACAGTATTCCTGACAAAGGGCGTTTATCTAGAATTCCTTAAAGCTCTTAAATGAGAAACAAACAATTCCATTTTTCAAATGGGCAAAGGGCCAACTGAAAGAGCTCCCACTGGCCAAAGCTGGGGCAATTTGAGAAAAAACTTAGAGTTGAATAAGAACCCTGAGTATAAAATACGTGCCCAGGAGTTCACACATAAACAAGACGACTGCCTGAGTGATGCAGACGAGACCCATCGTCCACGCAGAAGCAGCCCACCTGCTTTATGGGGGTGCCCTGACCTTAAGGACGTGGAGGAGGATTCCTCGCCTTTTCCGTGTGCGCTACGCATAGACTTCCTCCCGGAAAGCACAGGGTGGGGAAAGGAGAAAGGGTGACTTCACCAGGAGAACCTGACCAGCACCACTGCAGCCAGGTGACCACCGTCACACCATCCGTGACCGTCAGGTGGGCGGCGGGCGCCCTTGTGGAATGTGCTGAGACGGCACTTTGCCTCTTCGGTCTTCCTTCCTCCAACCCAGGACCCCGTCTAATCATGGGGCAAACATCAGACAGACCCCAGCTGAGGGGCAGTCTACAGAGTCTCTGGCCAGGACTACACCCTGCCAGTCACTGAAAACAAGGGGAGTTGGAGAAACTGTCACAAACAAGGAGAGTCTGAGAAACTGTCACCAACAAGGAGAGTCTGAGAAACTGTCACCAACAAGGAGAGTCCGAGAGGACATGACAACGGCACGCGGCGTGCTCACCTGGATGGCGTCCTGGGTCAGAGTGAGGACCTCAGGCAGCAACTCAGGAAGTCTGAGCAGAGTGTAGCCTTGGTTACTAGGCACCCTGTAACACCTAACAACGGGAAACCTGGGTGCGGGATGTACGGAAACGCTGTACTGTTTTTATATTTTTCTGTAAATCTAAAACTGTTCTAAAAATAAAGCTTATGAAGGGTCTAGGGGGAAATGGGCAAAAGAGTTGAACGGAAACCACCAAAGAAGCTCTTTGGACGACTAATAAGCAAATGAAAAGATGCTCAGCATCATCAGCCACCAGGAAGAGGCAACTTCAAGCCAGTGAGACGCTGCTGCACGCCTCTCAGGACAGCGCAGATGGAAAAGGGGGGACCTGGAGCTCTCCTCACAGCTGGAGGGATGGAGCATGATACAGCCACTTTGGGGGACCGCGGGTGGTCTCCTAACAAGCTAAATCTGCATTCTGGGAATATGCCTCAATCTGCACATGTCCAAACGAATTGAACATCCAATCTCAAAGAGATATTTGCACACCCATCCATAGCAGCATTATTTACAATAGCCAAGAGGTAGAAGCAACCATATGTCCACTGATGAACAAATGGCTAAAGAAAATGTGGTATATACACACGCTGGAATATTCTTCAGCCTTAAAAATGAAGAAAGTCCTGTCACACGCTACAACATAGATAAACCTTGAGAACATTGTAAGTGAACTAAAAAGCAAATACTGTGTGCTTCCCTTATGTGAATGATGTAAAGTAATCAAACCCATAGAAATAGAAAGAGGAG